TGGGACTAATGTTTGTCCCGAAGCTCGATCCATGAGGACCGTACGTGAAGAGGGAAGGTGTAGGATGAGGGTTATCGGTGGCTCTCTTCCAGACACAAAACTCCCTCTCAGTCCCCCCCGGAACCCGAGAGGTCAATCGGTCCACCCACCAAGACCTCATCAGGGTGAAGGGACAGGATGCTTCAGGTTCTCCAACAAGTAGTGTATAAACGCGGATCCGACCCGCACGCGCGGGGTGGTGGGATACGAGTTGGGAGGGTAAAGCTGACAGGGGGTTGTAAGCCTGCCGACATGCTCCCCGAAGACCACTCGTGAAGAGGCACCACGGGGGAAAAAGATAGATGGGGAACCCTGTCAACTCCAGCCGCACTTCGCCTCTCAGTCCCCGCCGTGATCCTGGGACGACGGAAAACTCTTTCTTAAGAGCCAGTACCCTCCACAGGGGTCACGGTGATAAAATCACAGGATCCGCGGAGGATAACGGACCGGGTGGGTTCCGGGAGGTAGCCCGGGAGTGGTAAGGGCCCGGAACCCGAGGACCGTCCGTGAAGCGGGGAGGCAAAGGTAATCGTCCACGGACGATATACCAGATGCAAATTCCCCCTTCGTCCTCATAACCAGTTTTAAAATAGATACCGAGGTATCCGATCGCCGACGTTAGCACGGACATGCGTACACCGAGCGCACACACGAACACCTGTCCGTGCGGACGTTCGGTGGGCAAAGGATCACGGTGCCGGTGAGCTGGCGGGTCAGCAGGTAAGGACGCGAGGTCAAAAACTGGACCGGGAGGATCCCGACGCAAGGATGCTCCAGGAACGGAAGAAAGCAGACACACATCAGCGTCGCTCAATCGGGCCCGAGGGTAGGTGGGTTATGGGACGTTCCATGGTACAACTCTTCGGAGGTCTGGTCGTCCCGGCTAGTTATCACGCGAGGGGGCCCGATTGCGATGTCAGACAGCGGGGCGTATACTGGCAAACCGTGTCCCGGAAGCATGAAGAGCATGGCTTTGCGGGACAACGGCCCAACGAGCCCCGCGGTCACCGTATTCCGGAAGGCAGTTCCTTACGAACGGAGCGCCGGACGTAAGGTATGGCATTACCAAAAATGGGCCCCACGTGCCGGTAAACAATCGTGACCCCGGAACACATATGTCGACGGGTCATGGAGGCGATTGGCACACGCTGCAACGACCCGTGGTACGCCGGAGAGAGAGAGCGTCGACCATTAGGGAGGGGCGAGATTCGCGACCCAGAACGCGAGCGGTGGTCCCTGATGAAACTGATATTTACTCTTCGGAGAAATTTCGGCGAAGTCCGGTGGGCTACCGTCTCGCGTCGCGTTCCTTGCAGACTCTAGGGAGGGGGGAGGGCGCGATCTACTCTACCTCGTTTTCCACTCTATTAAATTCACATACCCAGCTTTAGATTTAGACTAGATTCATATTGGCGGTGGATTCATTTATGGTCCACTGCGGCTCCCAGGGGAGGTGATCGCCGAACCCGACCACGTCTCTCCTTGAGGTCGGCTAGAACGGCCTCCCCATGTATCTCTGTTGGAGTCCCGGGACTCCCTCCCTGTCCTTGGGGGGGGTGGTAGATTTGTGAGGGGTACCAGAGGAGGGGGGGCTCCTGAACTATTCGGGACATAGGTAGGTAGAACAATAGGGGGTTGAAACAGGCGACACAGCTCTCTCTCGATGATGGAACGTACGCAAGCACGATGATTCCACCCCTGGTACAGACTCGGTCTGTGGATGAAGCAAAGAGTGAGCCGGTACTCACTTTGGAGACGAAGGATCGGTTGCCCCGACGACCATACTCCATAGCTACTTACTCAGGTAGGGATGGGACGATCCTAGTGACTCTCCGCCCCCCGGGCGAGTACTTCCTCGCCTCCATGTGGCCCGGGCTTAAAAAAGTTGGTCGGGTTGGAAAACCGGCGGAAACAGTCTCCCCGGGTAATGCCCACCGCAGTCCTATTGCAGGGCTGTTGAGATAGCTACCGGCGTTTTGAGCCACAGCTGGGCCTTGGGGGGGAAATCGCACTTCCCCTCTCCCGGGAGATCGTGTACGAACTACTACTACTAGGTATAGGAAGTGAATAGTATATACAGGATGTCCCAAAAATGTCCTCCGACCCGGAAATGGGGTACTCGGGGGGTGAATTCGAACAACTTTTTCCTTAGCAACATTGTAAACTGAGGCTTCGTTACCGAGATATTAACGAAAAACCGCGACCAATCGGAGCGCGAGTTTGCCAGCCGAGTTCCCGCGCTAGCGGTGGCTACGCGCTACGCTTGTACTACGAAACTCCGAACAAGTAGGTCACCATGCATCGCAGGAAACCGCGTATAATAATAGCAAACAACCAGACAGTAA